GTGAGGGTGGGGTGAGGGGGTAAAAGGGAGGGGGGAGCAGATTCATCTTCCCTCTGAACAAAAGCCTTATCGTTATCATTTCCTTTGCTTTTGTTTCATGACTTATAGTCATAGAGCCAAACAGCGTGGAAACAGATCCTTTGGTCCAATTCATCTGTGCTGACCGGATGTCCCAATCCGATGTATTCTATTTGCCTGTAATTGGCCCATATCCCTCTAAACCCTTCTTATTTATATACCCATCCACCTGCCTTTTAAATGTTGTAATTGAATCAGCCACCAGCACTACTTCTGGCAGCTCATTCCATACATGCACCACTCTCTGCATGAAAAAGTTACCCCTCAGGTCCTTTTTTAAAATCTTTCCTCTCTCACCTTAACCCTATGCCTTCTAGTTTTGGACTTCCCCATCCTAGGAAGAAGGCCTTGGCTATTCACCCTGTCCATGCTTGCCATCATTTCATAAGCCTCCATAAGGTCACCCCTCAGCCTCCAACGCTCCAGGAGAAAAAGCCCCGCCCTACTCAGCCTCAAACTCAAACCCTCCAATCCCGGCAACTATCTCGTAAATCTTTTCTGCACCCCCTCAAGTTTTAACACCATCTTTTGGATAGAACGGTGACCAGAATTGAATGCACTATTGTAAAAATGGCCTTACCAATGTCCTGTACAGCCGCAACATAATGTTCTGACCAATGAAGGCAAGCATGCCTAACACTTTCTTCTTCATTCTGTCTACTGGTGACTCCACTTTGAAGGAATTATGCGCATGCATCTCTAGGTCTCTTTGTTCGGCAATACTCCCTACCATTAGCTGTACAGATCCTGCCCTGATTTACCTCAAATTTATCTGAACTGAACTCCATCTGCCACTCCTCGGCCTTGATCAAATCTTTGTTCTTTAATTTTTTCCTTCCTCCACTGTATCCTAGACCATACTTTTTGTTCTTCTTGCCCCCACCTTCAATTACATTAAACCTGTCACACTTCTACCTCACTTCAGCTCTGAAAGAGTCGTATTTGACTCCAACTCTGTTTCTGTCTCCACAGTTGTTGTCAGATCTGCTGAGCTTTTCCAACACTTGCTGTTTCTATTCCAACTTCCCAACATCTGCAAGTATTTTGCTTTAATTATGCTATCACTGGGTAGTTCTTAGTTCTGCTGACTGCTTTGTTGTTCTGCTGACTGCTGCTTCTTCTCTTGACCAGTGTGAATGCCTGTGTGGATGTTGTGGTGTGTGCAGTTGGACTTTTGAAAGCACTTGCCTTGGATCCTGGAAACAAAGTGGACCATGACACCCTTCAATCAAGAGAGCATTTGAAGGAAACCTTCTCCTACTTCATGGATAAAGGAGTTGCAGCTGAACGATTCTTCACAGACAAAGAACTCTTTCAAAATATTGCGCAGACTGCATCACAGTTCCCAGGAGCTAAGGTGCAGTTTTTGTTGATTGAGCAATCCTGCCGAGAGGCCATTGCCCATGGTGCAGGCCAACACCCAGTTTAAACAAAGTAGGAGAGAAAGCAAGCTAAATCAAGAAGGATTGGTTAGATGACACCAAGATAGTTGGAGGAAGGGCAGAGATTGAAGGTGAAAGTTGTTGGGAGGTTTGGAGTTGCAGTCATGAGATTCTGGGGAAGAATGAGTTCTTTCTGGAAAGGGTGCAGGGAATGAGAAAGTGTCAGAGAAGTTTGTCAGGATATGGAAGGAGCTAATAAGTTCAATGTCCGAAACTGTTTCACAACCAATTCAGGAAATATCCTTCAATGCATAAGTGAACATTGGCAGAGTTCCACATATAATGAGATACATGACCTGATTATCTGATTAGCGCAGAATTGTGAAAGATATAGTGGATAGAGCCTCTGTTTAACTTCTTATTCATAGGGTAATATATTTAAACGTTAGGGACAAGAGAGGAAAATTCAGAGAAGAATTGGCAAAAGAGGGCAAGAGGTTTTCTCAACTCCACCCCCTCAGCAGCTAGTATTTAACTTGGAAGTTTGGGAACTTGTGCCTCTGTGATATTTGTGCAGATGTGTGAATATTATTTCCTCTGACAGAGTGTATGAAATGGGTTAAGTTTGTATATTGGAATTTACTGCTGACAAAGTTTTATTACATTCTGTAACTTGGCAGAGAAAGTTTGTCTTGTGCAGCTTGGTTTCTCAATCTCCCCTGGATCCAGTTGTCAGGCAGGCTATGATTTAGTGGAATAATGATCGTAAAGCGATAGCTATTATTTTATAATCTGGTGGTCTCTAAAGACAGACTTAACTCCTAATTAAAAAATACATATGTCAGTTAATCAGTAGCTAGTGGAACAAAGATGTGTAAAAATGAGTATTTATGTCACTCCTGGAAGCAGCATATGAAAAGCAGCCAGAAACAGCGTAGTGAAATGCCTTCAATAACAGAGAGCCAGCCTTTACACGAAAGGGCTTTTGTCAATGAATCCAGATCCTGGCTGTAAATAGGAATGCTAATAGCTCTGCATTTAGAAAACTAATCTATGATATTTTGGACGTAATTATGCTGATTCTTGGCTAGTATTATTTTCATTACTTTGTTTTATTTCAATTTTTTTTACATAGTTATATAGGCACAGAAACAGACCATTAGTTCAACTTGCCCGTGCTGGCCAGACATCCCAACTTGGTCTGGTCTGGTTTGCTAGCATCCTTGGGCAGCTTGTTCCATGGATGCACCACCCTGTGTGAAAAAGTCACCCATCAGGTCCTTTCTAAATCTTTCCCCTCTCGCCTTAAATCTATGCTGTCTAGTTTTGGACTCCCTAACCTGGTAAAAAGACCTTAGCTATTCGCCTTATCCATGCCCCTTATGATTTTATAAACTTCTATAGGTCAGCTCAGCCTCTGCTCCAGCGAAAGAAGACCCCAGCCTATTCTGCCTTTCCCAATAACTCAAATCCTTCAATCCTGCCAATAATCTTGTAAATCTTTTCTGCACCCTCTCAAGTTTTAAGACATCCTTCTTACAGAAGAGTGACCAGAATTGAACACAGTATTCTAAAAGTGGCCTCACCAATGTCCTGTACAGCCACAATGTGACCTCCTAACTACTCTACTCAATGTTCTGACCAATCATTGAGGCACAGTCCCAGAAGGTGCTGACTCACTGGGATAGAGTTCCTGAAGGTGCTGGCTCTCCCTGGGGGACATGTGTTGACTGTATTCTCTACATTGACGTTTAATATCATGTGAGAACAGGAGTGAACTCGTTATTAATTTTGCTTGAGGTAAGCAGCTTTGAAACGTGCTCAGACTCAGACGTCAGTGATGGTTTTAGGGTGATGTGGTAACTTGCAACTGCTTGTTGTAGCCTGACTCTCAGCATGGCCCTGAGCTTCAGTGGGATGGGAAATGCTGAGAGGAAGAAATTTGACATGTGAAGATTTGAAAAAGCATCACAGTGAGTCTATTTTCATAAACTTCCTTTACTTACAGTCATAGAGTCCTACAGCATGGAGACAGGCCCTTTAGCCCAAACTGGCCCACGCTGACCGAAATGTCCAATAATGTTAACCCCATTTCCCTGCACTTGGCCTATGTCCTTCTAAACTTTTCCTATCCATTTATTTTTAATATTGTTAAGGTACCTGCCTGAAACATTTCCGCTGGCAGCTCATTCTGTATGCATACCATCCTCTGTGTAAGACAGTTGCCCCTTAGATTCCCATTTATTCTTTCCCATCTTACTTTAAAGTGATGCCCTCTAGTCCTGGATTTCCCAACCCTGGAAAAAAGACAATGCATTCACCCTATCCGTGCCCCTCATTATCTTATACACTTCTGTAAGATACCCCCCTCAGTCTCCTATGCTCTAAAGAAAAAAGTCCTAGCTTGCCCAACCTCTCCCAATAACTCAGTCCCTTGAGTCCTTGCAACATCCTTGTAAATATCATCCACACTCTTTCCAGTTTAATAACATGCTTCTATAGCAAGGTTACCAAAATGGAACATAATACTACAAGTGTGGCCTCACCAATGTCCTGTACAACTGCAACATAACTTCCCAACTTCTCAGTGCTCTGACTGACGAAAGCCAGTCCGCCAAAAGCTTTCTTCACTGCTCTGTCTACCTGTGAGTCCACTTTCAGAGAACCATGCACCTGAACTCCAAAGTCCCTCACTCCTTAAGACCCTACCATGCACTATGAAGCACCTATCTTGATTTGACTTTCTAAAATGCGACGCCTCACACTTGTCTATATTAAAATCCATTTGCCATTTATCGGCCCACTTCCCCAGTTGATCAAAATCCTGTTGCAATTTCTGATAACTTTCCTCACTGTCCACGATGCTGTCTATTAAAGTGCCATTTGCAAACTTACTAATCATGCTTTGTACATACTCATCCAAATCACTGATTTAAATAACAAACAGCAATGGGCCCAGCACTGACCCCTGAGGCACACCACTAGTCACAAGCCTCCAGTCCGACAAGCATCCTTAGACTATTACTCTCTGCTTCCTTACCATCAAGCCAATTGTGTATCCAATTTGCCAGCTCTCCCTGGATTCCATGCGATCTAACCTTCCAAAGCAGCCTACCATGTGGAACCTTATCAAAGGCCTTACTGAAATCCATACAGACTATGTGTGTCACCCTGCCCTCATCAACGTTCCTGGTCCCCTCATCAAAGAACTCTAACAAATTTGTGAGGCATGATCTATGATGCATGAAGCTATGCTGACCACTCCTAATCAACCCTATCTTTCTAAATGCATGTATATTTTATCCCTCAGAATCTTCTCAAGTAACTCGCCTACCACAGATGTTCGGCTTGCTGGTTTATGGTTCCCAGGATTTTCTTTGCAGCCTTTCTTGAAGAAGGGCAGTCTTCCGGGACTTACTTATTTTGGACTTCTCCAGAAGGCATTTTACACCTTATAACAAGCATTAAAATGAAGTGCAGGAATTAAGTGTGTGTGGGAAAAAATTTGGAGGGGTGGAGCGGTGGGCTTTGTGTTAGAAGCATTACAAAGTATCAGTGTCTTCATTTCATCAGGTATTCTAATTGAGTTTTGGATGCCATAGGGACAGCTCTGGAAGTTATGGTGGGGAGGATGCAGAGCAATTTAAGCTGATGATTTAAGGTCATTCTTGGCTGTCACTGATTTTGTTCCTCTGTTTGATTTTCTAACAGCATTTTGTTGGAGGAAATGCTGCCCTGATCGGCCAGAAGCTGAGCACGAATCTAAACCTTTCGGTTAGTCTGTTATTTCTATTTGCTGGAGCAGGGATAGAACAGTCTCAAAAAGGTTGGGAATTGAATCGTTACTACTTCCAGCTCTGTTGTTTTGTCAATTTTGTCCTTCTAACTTCGATCCAGAAAGCGCTAACTTATGGTTAGCGATGCAGGTATGTTGCCTCTCAGTGGGGACAGTCTCTGAAGGTGCTGACCCACTTTTGGACTGTTTTGGAGTGTTCTGATTTCGCAAAGTATGAATCTTGACCTCTATGAGCTTGTCGAGGCACCAGTGATTCCCAATCCATCCATCCTTCATCTTCCATGTGCTGCACGGTTGAGGAGTTTGTATCTTAGGTGATTTTTGTCTTTCTCATCCTACTATCATTTGTTAACACTCCTATCATCTCTCCTGTGGGATGTACTGACTTGGAATGATATGTGGATTGTCCCTGGTTTTGTTTTCATCTGAGTTAACTAACAGCGCTGTGCAAAGTACCCTTTCGATGCCTCATCAATTTGGCCCAGCAGAGATCAGCAGCTTTAACACTACGGTGTCACTGGATGGTGCCAGAGATTTAGTTCCTGAAGTGCTTCTCTGAGCACTTCACCCCTGCCTGAGACTGTGACGAAGGGCTCACTGTTTCTGAGACAGTATTGGCACAGGCCTCTGTCAGTGGCTGTGTTGTACATGCTGTAAATGTGTTGTGATAGCTGATGTACTGTGTGTGTAGTGCTGTTGTTGGGATAAATATTAATACTCGATTTAACTGCAGGTGATGCTGTGTGGCCCAGTTGGCCCCAAACTTCGTGAACTCTTGGATGATCGAATTATTGTCCCAGCAGAATCGCTGCAGGAGATGGATGAGTATCACCTCATTCTGGAATATCAAAGTGGTGAGTTTAGTAATTGTTAGAACTGGGGACTGGGTTGTTTTAATGTAATGCTAATTGTAACGTCTTCAATTACTTTCATTGCTCTCCTCTTCCTTGGCTTGAGTGGTGAATCCACCAGCCAGAATTCCTTATCCAGTGACCCTTGCAAGGAACATCTCATTATTGAGTGAGACAGGGTTGGGCTACGCTGTGATGCCTTCTGTGGTAAAGTTGCTGAGTGATGTGATAGTGAATTATGACCACAGTGTCCCAAAGTACTTTAAGACAATCAAATGTTATCACAGTTGTAATTTAGGTAAGAAGGACTGAAACAGTAATTTGATGGTGAAGCTGGAGTTGTAAAATGGTAGGAGGAATGGAGGAATTAGTGTTCAGTTTCAATTAAAAGCTCTTATTGGAAGATGACTAAAATTTGAGATGGTAATGTTCTCTATTTGAATGCCTTTGTCTTACTATGCCTGACCGAATCATAATCTTCTGTCCAATGGGAGGATTGCTGTATATGAGCCCCATTCTGGAGGTATTGAACACAATTTAAGGGAGTACTGTTCTCCAGCAATACATTAGTCTGCGCTCTGCTTCCAGAGCGAGTTTAAAATTTCCTGAACTGTTTGCAGGAGAAATTTCCATTGTGTACACGCAATATTCAGCTTTTATGTCACATGGTAAGTCCTGATATCACTCCATGTAACCGTTATCTCATTTCCCACTCAAACTTCTGCCATATTGCCGGCCATGGACATACAGTGAAAGCTGATATTAAAGCTCTGTCCTGCTGGGTAATATAACATCTGCTTGCTGGCTGTTTTATGTTATGCAGGGGATGAGTGGGGGTCGATTAAAGCACCTCAGGCCAACCGCTTCATTTTCTCTCATGATGTGTCAAATGGAGAGATGAACATGATGGAGACCTTCATAACAAGTCTGGAGGAATTTGAACCTGAGCTGGTTGTCCTTTCGGGTCTGCACATGATGGAAGGACAGGGGAAGGAAGAACGAAATAAGAGACTCCAGGAGGTAAGGCAGAAATACACCAGTAAATTTGTTGTAGGGTGATGATTGTCTCTCACTCAATTAAACCCAAAATGGTGTTACAGCAGTCTTCAGTCACTCTTCTTGGAAAGCCTTCTTTAAATATCTGTCATTCAGAATCTTCACAGCCATTCTTTGTTCAGTTTTCAAAAGGAGCAAGGTAATTTTGGATTGCACCGTGAAGATCAACCTCGTGTCATGTAAAGCAACATTATTCTGTCTCCTAATACTTCACAGGTGCTGCTCCCTTCTCTGACAAACTGAGATTTAAAAAAACGTGCTACAGATGCTGCATAAATGCAGATTGTTGGTCTTAGACTCTGTAGACTGTGTTGGGTAATGGCATGATCAACAATAATGTTAAAATATTTTACTTTGATAACAACCTGGTATGGTCCTGTAACCAATACTCAACCAAGACTTGGAGATGGGATTTAGTATTAAAATAAATAAATGTTTATTATTAATGAGATAAACTAAAGTTAAACGGAGAGAGTTGGCGTAGAGAATGTGCGTGTTAAGCTATTACAGGGTCTAAAACAGCTATTCAAACATATTATTTTTCCTATTCCAATCTGTTTGCATTAATACCTTTCACCAGTCTCCATTCTTCCCTCCCTGTCTGGGGAATTGTCCTTTTTATCCATTTTCTCCTTTCACTTGTACATTAGAAAAACCATTTTTCCCCTCTCTCCACTTAGGAACCTATTCATTTTAATATTCATAAGTTTTGCTTTCAATCTAGAGGTTTGATACAACTACAATAAATGGTTTCTCGGTCATTTCAGAGGACTTCTAAGAGTCGACTTCATTGATCTGACCTTGTAGGTCAGACTAGATAGGGGTGAGATTTTCTCTTTGAAGGTTATTGTGAACCATTTGAACGGGGGAGGCAATATCTCTAGGCTATTAATCCAGAGGCCCAGATAATGTTCTGGGGATCTGACTCCAAACTCTGCCATAGCAGATGGTGAAATATGATCTGGTCAATAAAAATCTGGAATTAACAGTCAAATGATGACCACGTAACTGTTACGAAGTAGGGTAGAGTATTCATGCATTGGAAGGCAGGAAGTTAGATTGGTTGGTTAAAAAATGATAGTGGGGAAAAAGAGCACCTGTTCCCTTTAAGAGATTGTGCTTTGTCTGTGCTGGGAAGTTTACAAGTTCTATGCTCAGAGAATGCTTGAATTGAAACATTTTGTATCAAACAGCCAAGCAGCATTTTTACCAAGACAACAAGTTTGAATTTGGCCAATAAATTTAAACCAAGCACAGCAATTAAACTCCCCAATCAAAGCCAGTTGAATTTAAAACCTGTTACAAAGATAGTAGGAACTGCCGATGCTGGAGAATCTGAGGTAACGATGTGTAGAGCTGGATGAACACAGCAGGCCAAGCAGCATCAGAGGAGCAGGAAAGCTGCCGTTTCGGGTTGAGACCCTTCTTCAGAAATGGGGGAGGGAAAGGGGATTCTGAAATAAATAGGGAGAGAGGGGGAGGCGGATAGAAGATGGAAAAACATAGAACATAGAACATTACAGTGCCGTACAGGCCCTTCGGCCCTTGATGTTGCGCCGACCTGTGAAACCAATCTGAAGCATATCTAACCTACACTATTCCATTATCATCCATATGTTTATCCAGTGACCATTTAAATGCCCTTAAAGTTGGCGAGTCTACTACTTTTGCAGGCAGGGCATTCCACGCCCTTACTACTCTGAGTAAAGAACCTACCTCTGACATCTGTCCTATATCTATCACC